ATACCAGTGGTACCTTGATAGATGGGGCTTCAAGCTGATAGACTTGAATACGCTGCAGGCACTAGAGGACGTCCCTGCTGAGCATCCCTAGGACTGGTGGAGGAAGCCCTTCTACTCAGCCCTCATCAGCCACCTGCATCCTGGGCATGTGGAGGCCATGGTCTGGGAAGGGTACAATGTGGTCTGTGCTTCACATAAACTTCGTGAAGGCCACCCAAGGGAGCATACAGGGAAATGTCAGGCAGGAACAGCAGCTTGTGGAGGGGCCCCAGAGAGTCACAGCTATGGTTTCAGAGCAGTGAGCTGGTGAACCGGGCAGACGGGGGCCACCACAGCAGTGTGTGCCCAACATGAGAGCCCAGGGTGCCCTTGGCCACACCAGCATTCCACCAAGACCAACTATCAACATGAACTCAAGCCCATAACCCATACCTGTCTCTCCCAAATCACTTCCCTTTTCACCTGCACCACCCCAGCCCAGAGGAGTTCAAGCCACCAACTTTGTGTGGCTTTCTGTACCCTGGCCAGCGTAAGACTGGACCTAATCCATTCCATACACCAAAGTGCCAGACAACCTTTGAGGTGTCTTCAAAAGTGGGTATTATGACTACTTCTCCCCAAGAGGGGAGACATTAAAATTCACTGGCTGACTCAGCACCTGTAGCATAGTACTTATGGTGCTGGCCACACACACCAAGGCTGGTGGGTTCGAGCCCAGCCTGGACCTGCTAAACAATGATGACAACTGCAACAAAAAGATACCTGGGCATTGTGGTGGGCGCCTATATCCCAACTACTTGGGAGGCTGAGGCAAGAAAATTGCTTAGGCCCAAGAGTTTGAGGTTACTGTGAGCTATGACACCATAGCACTCTACTGAGGGCGAGACAGTGACACTGTATCTCAAAAAAAAATTCACCGTGCTGAGGAAAAATAAATTTGCAGATTAACTTGGACTATAAGAAAAAAGGCACCTAAAAAAAGTGATACAGGCTGGGTACAGTGACTCATGCCTGTACTCGGGAGTTTGAGACTAGCCTGAGAAAAAGTGAGATTCCCATCTCCACTAAAAATCGAAAAAAACTAACCAGGTATAGTGGAGCATGCCTGTAGTTCCAGCTATTACTCTGGAGGGTGAGGTAGGAGGATAGCTTGAACCCAGGAGTTTGAGGTTGCTGTGAGCTACGATAATACCATAGCACTCTACCCAGGATGACAGAGTGAGACTCGGTCTCAAAAAAGAAAAAGAGGCTCGGCGGCTATGGCTCAAGCGGCTAAGGCGCCAGCCACATACACCTAAGGTGGCGGGTTCGAATCCCCAGCCCGGGCCCGCCAAACAATGATGGCTGCAACCAAAAAATGGCCAGGCGTTGTGGCGGGCGCCTATAGTCCCAGCTACTTGGGAGGCTGAGGCAGGAGACTCGCTTGAGTCCAGGAGTTGGAGGTTGCTGTGAGCATGATGCCACGGCACTCTACCCAGGGGGACAGCTTGAGGCTCCGTCTCAAAAAAAAAAAAAAAAAAGAAAAGAAAAAAGTGAAACAAAATATTAATGAGACACAATTACTAATCTTGTATAACTGATCAATAATGGATGTTCAAGTATCTAAAATATGCACATAAATTTCAATAGCTACAGAAACAGGGCAATCACGAAGCCCCCTGTAATATTTAAAGCTAGGAAGAAACTACATGACCAGCTCCTGCTGTCTGTGTATTTCAGAAAGTGTGCTGCTCACTCACAGCTTGATTGTGAGAGGAATGGTCTTCTGAATTTATCTTAAACATTATTTTTTTAGTTTGTTATTCCTGGATTCCCTCTGTGTCCTGCAGCCAAAACCTCTCTTCAGGCAGCAATGTAGGTAATTGTAAAGCCCACCTCAATTGTTGATGAGATTGTTTTCTTTCCTTGCCTGATGTCCTGCCTGGCAGCTGTTAGTATATGAGTGGGGCTTACTGATTATAGGCTTCATTTGCAAGATATTCTGCTTTGGACATTTCCCTGAGTCCTAATAGGGTAAAAATTTTCTCTTGGGCTAGGCAGATTTCACTAAGAATAATCATCCTTTCTGTGTGGAGGGTATAGGCCTAGCTGATAAAAGTTCTGGAAGAGCTGAGGGGTCCACCCATCAGTATGTAAATGTTCACACATCCCTATTTTCATTTTAATGCCTCACCCTCAACAATGGGGTACTACAGTTGAGAAACTATACTTCCAGCCTTCTTAGGGAGGTAGTAGGGAAGTCTCATGATTATTCTGGGTAGCAGAGAGGATGGAGTGACAATCTTAGCATCTGGGGTAGCCAGTATCCCAAATGATCCTCACCTACTGGTAGTTCATGCCCCTGGTTAGTCATCACCCTTATCAGGTGGACCAGTGTGACACAGAGGGTAGGACAGAAGTGACTTTCCAGTTTAGATCATAAACAACAATGCAGCTTTCTCTAGGGGAAGCAGGTAGCATTCTGTGAGCACAGAGCACCCCAAAGAGGTTCACAGTTTGAGGCACTAACTTGGCCCTGAAGTGAGCCACCTTGGAAGATCATCCACCAGCTTTACTCAAGCCTTCAGGTGAGTGCAGCCTCAGCTGCCATCTAACTGGAAACTCATGAAAGCCCTGAGCTACTCAGCCAAGTTACTTCTGAATTCCTGATCCACAAAAGCAATGAGATAACAATTGCTATTATAAGCCACTAAGTTCTGCAGTACCTTGTTAACACGGTGTTGGATAAATCAGCATATGACTTTCTGAAGATAACTGGTTTTATGGTCACCCTCAACTTCACTTCCAGAAATATAAACAATGCCAATTCCCAAATTACTTGAGGAAATTCTACTGTATAACCTGGTTGTTTCTTGGCTTTCTCAATTTCCAGCCTATGATTCAGATGTTTTGGGTCTGCAAAGTCACTCATTATTCATTCATCTGCTCCATGTGTTTAAAAAATGTTTATTGTTATCTCCCATTCTCTTTGTCTTGGCTAGACAAAGAGGTTGAAAACTATTGTTGCTTTAGTGGGGTGCGCAAAGTATTCTCAATTTGCTACAATTATTTATCATACCTTTTGTCAAACATACACATCTTTGCCAGTAAGAAGTGATTAACAATGTCTCAGTGTGATTTTCTTTATTTTTTGAAATAGGGTCTTACTCTGTTGCCCCAGCTAGAGTGCAATGGCACCATCATAGCTCACTGCAGCCTCAAACTCCTAACCTCAACCCATCCGTCCACCTTGGATTTCCAAAGTGCTATGATTACAGGTGTGAACCACCATTCCCAGCCTCAGTGTGATTTTAATTTTGACTTTTCATATTATAACTATTAAGAAACATATGGGTTTTTTAATACAAATCATGGCTTCATCTTTTTTATCCTATTTTCCCACTGAACTGCTTGGACTTATTTCACCTTTGATTCACAGAAGCTTTTTATATTAGAAAAATCAGCCCTTTGTAATACGAACTACCAATGTTTTCTCTCTTTTTTGCAGTTTTTGGCTGGGGCCGGGTTTGAACCCACTACCTCCGGTATATGGGGCCGGTGTCCTACTCCTTTGGGCCACAGGCGCCACCCCTGAGCTGCCAATATTTTCAACTGTAGTCTGACTTATGACATATGTAGTAGTTTCCCACACTGCAAAGTTCTATTTTTCTGTAGTTTATACTATTAATCTTTTTTATTTTATATAATTGGGGGGGTTTTCTAAGTCTGTGTTAAACTCAGGTCTAAGATTTTTAAAAATTCTCCCATACTTCTACTACTTCAATTATTTCTAGCATATAAAAATAAATAAATTTGAATAAAATTTATTTCAGTGTAGGAAACTGATCTAATTTCATTTTTCCCATATAGCTGCCTAGTCTTAAATCCATTTATTGAATAATCCATCTTTCCTCAGTAATCTGAACTGTTACATTTAACATATACTAAATTTCTTTATGTACTTGGGTCTATTTGTGGGTTTACCGTTTGACTGATCTTTCTATATTCTGCCAGTAGGATAATGTTTCTTTAAGTTCATATGCACGGGGGGGGGGGGGTACCTCCTCTTACTACTTTTTTTAAAAATTGTCTTCTGAAATCATGACTATATACAAATAACTCAGAAGCCCCAAATTAACAAAGAACTATAATACAACTGGTTTCTAGGACAGGTTTAACAATTAATATATAAGAATTCCATTAAGGCTGGGTGTGGTGGCACATGCCTGTAATCCTAGCACTCTGGCAGGCTGAGGAAGGCGAACTACTTGAGCTCAGGAGTTTGAGACCAGCCTGAACAAGAGTGACTCCGTCACTACTAAAAAATAGAAAAACTAGCTGGGTGTCATGTCATGGTGGGCAGCTGTAGTCCCAGATACTGGGAGGCAAGAGGATCTTTTGAGCTCAAGAGTTTGAGGTTGCTATGAGCTATGATGATTCTGCTGTACTTTACCCAAGGCAACAGAGCAAGACTCTGTCTCAAAATTAAAAGGAAAAAAATGAATTCTATTAATAAGATTATGGTTTTTTTTTTTTCCTGAGACAGTCTCACACTTTGCTGCCCTTGGTAGAAAGCTGTGGCATTACAGCTCACTCTAACCTCAATCCCCTGGGCTTACACGATTCTCTCTGCTCAGCTTCCCGAGTATCTGGGACTACAGGTGCCCACCACAACGCCTGGCTATTTTGTTGTCGTCGTCATTGTTCAGTAGGCCCAGGCTGGGTTCGAACCCACCAGCCCCAGTGCATGTGGCCAGCACCTTAACCACTGAGCTATGGGCACTGAGCCAGAAAATCATAAATATTAATGAACATACAAGAAGTATAAAATTGTGTCCAATTATAACAGTTAATTGGTTGTAAGGTCCTGTTTTCCTTTAAGAGAACTATAATCTAGTTAATAAAGGAAATATACCAGTATAATCAGAGAATATATAAGTTAATGGTTTGTACAACTGGTTTTAAAAACTGTTGATATATAGTATTCAACAAAATGTTTTAGGTCAGAAAAAATATCTTACTTGTAACAAAAGCAGCTGGAGAAGATGATCATAGCAATTATGCAGACAGACATAGAAATGAGCAAAACCAGCCATCGAATGCTGCCATCAAAAAATGGACCTGGCAATGGAAGCAAACAATAAAGTAACTTATTATCTTTCTATTGCATCTTATTAAAAGGAAAAAATAATTTGTAGTATTAAATTCTAAGTAGCTTGGTTATTGTTAAAACCAGAGAAAATTATTTTACTATCATGCTCAGATTTTTCTCGGATGACTCACCTATAACAACAGGGGGCAGTGTGGGTTGCAAATATTGGTTACATAAATTGGTCCGACAACATTCTATTGTCCGGCGTAGCTGGGCTTTTGGTGAATCCTAGAAGAAAAGTAATGTTAAAATTAGAAATGGCTTGATATATTAAACTAATAATTAAACCTTTTTAGTATTTGTAAAATATGATTTCTAATTCAGTGAGTGAAAACCACCCAAAGATTTTATAAGCAGAAACAGATTATTGAAAACTTAAAATTTGTGCTGACATAGTGTTGTGAAGACTATAAAATATTTTCTTAAGAAAATATTTATCTGGCTCGGTGCCTGTGCCTCAAGTGGCTAAGTCATATACACCTAAGGTGGCGGGTATGAATCCAGCCCGGGCCCACCAAAACAACAACGACGGCTACAACCAAAAAAATAGCCAGGCATTGTGCAGGTGCCTGTGGTCCCAGCTACTTGGGAGACTGAGGCAGAAGACTCGCTTGAGCCCAGGAGTTGGAGGTTGCTGTGAGCTGTGATGCCATGGCACTCTACCCAGGGAGATAGCTTGAGGCTCTGTCTCAAAAAACAAAACCACCTGAAGATTTTATAAGCAGAAACAGATTATTGAAAATTTAAAATCTAGGCTCGGCGCCTGTGGCTCAAGTGGCTAAGGCGCCAGACACATACACCTAAGGTGGCTGGGTTTGAATTCAGCCCCGACCCGCCAAACAACAATGACTGTGGCGACCAAAAAATAGCCGGGCGTTGTGGCGGGCACCTGTGGTCCCAGCTACTTGGGGGGCGGAGGCAGGAGACTTGCTTGAGCCTAGGAGTTGGAGGTTGCTGTGAGCTGTGAAGCCACAGCACTCTACCAGGGGGATAGCTTGAGGCTCTGTCTCAAAAAAAAAAAAAAAAGAAAGAAAGAAAAATTAAAATCTGTGCTGACATAGTGTTGTGGAGGAACTATGTCAGGAATTGGAGGTTGCTGTGAGCTCTGATGCTACAGCACTCTACCCAGGGGGACAGCTTGAGGCTCTGTCTCAAAAAAAAAAAAAAAAAAAAGAAAGAAAGAAAGAAAAACTTATCTTTCTTTGACTGGTTAGTTTTAGTATTATAAACTGCTTCTGAGCAAACAAGGAAATTTAGCAAAATTATGTTAACTTGATTCAGAAGTTTTAGAATGGCAAATAAATGTACAACTGTTTACATAACAAAAGGTTAAGCAGAAAGTAAATTTCAATATGTCAGTATAGAGGCTCTATTTTATGTAGACTTAAATTAATGTGAGATATACACCTGCATATTCAGAAATCTGGATGTTTCCTTCATACATCAAACTATTAATAAGCAAAAAAACAAAAGGAACTTATCTATGTGAATGGTATTTTAGAACACTAGATTATAACTAATTAAATTAAATAAATAATTAATAAACAAAAGTTTATTAAGTGTTTTTCATTCCAAACTTTGGAAAATCTGGCTCGGCGCCTGTGGCTCAAGCGGCTAAGGCGCCAGCCACATACACCTAAGGTGGCAGGTTCGAATCCCCAGCCCGGGCCCTCCAAACAACAATGGCCGGACGTGGTGGCAGGCGCCTGTAGTCCCAGCTATCTGGGAGGCTGAGGCAGGAGATTCACTTGAGCCCAGGAGTTGGAGGTTGCTGTGAGCGTGATGCCATGGCACTCTACCCAGGGGGATAGCTTGAGGCTCCATCTCAAAAAACAAACAAACAAACAAAAACAAACAAACAACAAAAAAAAAACTTTGGAAAATCTTAAAAAATTATGATTCAGTAATTTTTAGTGAAAAAGTAATTACTTTAAAAGTCATGAGATCTTTTCCTAAAAGACATGGATAGGGAATTTTAGTATAATCATAAACTAGTCTGTAAATATGATCTTACAGTGATACTGAGACTTCGATGAGACCTAAGATCAGACTAAAAAGTAGGGGTTAAAAGAAAAGGCTGATTAAGAGCCGGGTTCACAATGTACTTGGCCCTATTATGAAACTAATGTATAGCTTTCATACGAAAGCTATAACCCAATTATAGCCCAGGAATATGGGGAAAGGGGAGAGGGAGGGGAGGGGAGGGAAGGGGGGAGGGGAGGAGGGGTGGAGGGAGGGTGATGGATGGGACCACACTTATGGTCCCTCTTACAAGGGTACATGTGAATCTTTCTAAATGTAGAATATAAATGTCTTAACACAATAACTAGGAAGATGATATGAAGGCTAAGTCAACCAATTTGATGAAAGTATATAAATTGTATATAAAACCAGCACACTATACCCCATGATTGCATCAATGTACAGAGCTATGATCTAATAAAAAAATAAAATTAAAAAAAAAAAAAAAGAGCCAGGTTCAGTGGCTACTCAGAAGGTTGAGGCAGAAGGATCCCTTGACACCAAGAGTTCAAGGCTGCAGTAACTATGACTGTGCCTAGGAACAGACACTGCAGTCTAGCCTGAGCAACACAGTAAGACCTTATCTTTTAAAAACAAATAAAAATAAAAAACAGATGGCGGCACCTATAGCTCTGCAGGTAGGGCATTGGCCATATACACTGAGGTTGGAGGGTTCAAACCTGGCCTGGGACAGCTAAAACAACAATGACAACTGCAACAAAAAAAAAGCCAGGCATTGTGGTGGGCGCCTGTAGTCCCAGCTACTTGGGAGGCTGAGGTCAGAGAATTGCTTGAGCCCAAGAGTTGGAGGTTGCTCTGAGCTGTGACACCAAAGCACTCTACCCATGGTAACAGCTTGGGACTCTGACTCAAGAAAACAAACAAACAAACAAACAAATAAACAGAAGCAAAGTAAGTAAAAGGCTTGTTATGAGAGTAGTTCAAAAGGTAGAGGATGCTGTAAAACTGTAAATCCTGTATCTATCAACTATGTCATGAATAGTCTCACCCCCCTCAGAGCTTCTTAAAAAAAAAAAGTTAAAAGAACCTGAATTTTTCTAGATCTGGGATTAGACTGCTTAAAGCATATATGGTGAGGGAAAGGGGAACCTACAGAAAAAATATTCCTGTGAATTTATTAGAGACCACCAACCATATAAGAGATATGTCTCTAACAGATCAGAAAACTAAGGAGAAAGAGATTATAGTCACAGAACAGATATTAACAGTTATTTATTTGATTTACAGACATTTGATTAACAGACATTTTATTTGATTTACGGTAGAGTATCTGACAAATTGAATGCTGACATTTCAGCTCTGTTTGGGAGAATTGCCATTCTGGACCAAAATCCTAATAAAAAGGAACTGTTTGTCATTCTAAAAGTAGCAAGAATGTAAGAAGAAGTTAACCCTGTTATTCTTAAATATCAGATGGCCGGAAAGGAAGATCTTCAGTTATTATTTAAAAAAGCTGAACCGGAGTCCATGACTTGAAATTCTGGTAGAGAAGATGGCAAGAGCGTCTGGAAATCCCCAAATGAACAAGTTTTACATTTTATTTTAATTAATTTAAATTAATTAAAAATTTTTTTTGTTAATTTGTTAACTAATTCATTCATTCTGGAGATAGAGTTTTGTTCTGTTGATCTGGCTGGAGAGCAGTGGTGTCATCACACCTCAATGCAACCTCAAACTCCTGGACTCAAGCCATCTTCCTGCCTTAACCTCCCAAGAAGTATTAAAATGTCCAGCTAATTTTTCTATTTTTTGTAGAGACAGGGTCTCACTCTTGCTCAGGTTGGTCTCAAACTCCTGATCTCAAGCAATCCTTCTGCCTTGGCCTTCCAAAATGCTAGGATTATGGATATGAGCCACCGCACCCAGTCAATTTTTTCACTTTAACAATTTTTATTTCTAAATGATCATAAACAGAGAGAAGCAAGATAGGCTAGGTTACACTGGAGACTCTGAAATAACCCCAGATCTAGAGAAAATGTGTAAGAAGGCAGAAATGAAGAGCAGATAACTAAAGATGAATAAAAGAAGTACCTAACATCTAAGAATAGTTTCAGGAAGGCCAACATCAGCTTAGAAGGATAGAACATGTTAAAAAAAAAAAAGAAAGAAAAAAAAAACACCAAGAAAGACGTTCTTTGGCATGGTGGGGAGAAAGTCCACCAAGCAATGGATGTTTTACTGTCACAATAGTGGAGAAAGGAGGACAAAAAAGTGCAATTCTTCAACTCCTGTTTTGCTTCTGTCTTTTCTATCAGGGATAATTAAAAGAATGATGAAGGTAGATCAAACACTAGTAAAGTGGGAACTGATACCCCCAATACATGAAGAGATCTTGAAATGTTTTCTATATTTTATACGAGTTCATATTTTCTTTCTTTCTTTTTTTTTTTTTTTTGAGACAGAGCTTCAAGCTGTTCCCCTGGGTAGAGTGCTGTGGCATCACAGCTCACAGCAACCTCCAACTCCTGGGCTCAAGCGATTCTCTTGCCTCTGCTTCCCAAGTAGCTGGAACTACAGGTGCCTGCCACAATGCCCAGCTATTTTTTGGTTGCAGCCATTATTGTTCTTTGGTGGGCCTGGGCTAGATTCGAACCCACCGACTCAGGTGTATGTGGCTGGCACCTTAGCTGCTTGAGCCACAGGTACCAAGCCATGAGTTCATATTTTCTAATGTAGGTGAATTAAATCCCAGGAATATGAGAGCACTTGTGCAATGACTGAAAGACAAGTCTAATATAAAGATTTCAGAAATAAGCAGTGTTGGAGACAAGATAAAATGTCCTTTTACTTTTCTTTAGAAAGAAAAGAAAGTAGACTTAGCTAACCGATTGAAGGCAGCATAGTATTTTTTTTTTTTTTTGAGACGGAGCCTCAAGCTATCTCCCTGGGTAGAGTGCCATGGCATCACGCTCACAGCAACCTCCAACTCCTGGGCTCAAGCGAGTCTTCTGCCTCAGCCTCCCAAGTAGCTGGGACTACAGGCGCCCGCCACAACGCCTGGCCATTTTTTGGTTGCAGCCATCATTGTTGTTTGGCGGGCCCGGGCTGGGGATTTGAACCCGCCACCTTAGGAGTATGTGGCTGGCGCCTTAGCTGCTTGAGCCACAGGCGCCGAGCCGAAGGCAGCATAGTATTAAGGAAAAAGCGAGGGCTTTAGAATCAAACAGTTTAAATTCTAGCTTTACCAGTTATTTTGTGACCTCAAGCAACTAACTTTCTGGGCTTTAGTCTCCTCTGCTGGAAAATACAGGATAAACAAATTTGCCTTACAAAGTAATCGAGAGGAAACGAGATAGAATTTACCAAATATTCAGTATACTAAACACAAACACAAATATTCAATAGATAAATTCTTCTTCCTCTGGGGACCTGACTTGAATTCCTGATTAGATTCTATAAATCAGAAAAGCTCTAAAGTCCCTAAAAACTCAAGGTGGCTTCACCAAGAGTAAGCAACATCAGACTTAGTTCACATCTTTCTGCCATAGCTTAACTACATATCTGGGAAGGTAATAGTTAGGTCTGCCCAGATTATGGATTTGGATGATACAACCTTTCCTTTTCCTGCACTCCCCACCCTTCTCCCTGCCGAAATCAATTTGTATCTCCAGATTTATGGGGGGAATAAAAATCCTTGTGAGGAAAAGATTCACTTGGCATTTATGAAGTCAGAGATTGTGACTTAGATAAACTTATTTAGTGTGCTTGGGCCAGACCTGGTATATGAGGAAGTAAGTGAAGCTAAATTACAAGGAATGGAATTGAAGTTTCTGAAAAATTATTCATCCTATAGGAAGAAACAATAAGCGAGATGTCCCAATAGAGACCAGAGGGGGCATGAGGATGATCATGTGCCTCTGTTTTGATCCACACCTAGCAGGCTGTAAAAGCACTGAGGAAGGGCTTAAAGCAAAATTAAAACAGTTGGGTGGCGCCTGTAGCTCAAGTGGCTAAGGCGCCAGCCACATATACCAGAGCTGGTGGGTTCGAACCTGGCCTGGCCTGCCAAACAAGACGGCTTCAACCAAAAAATAGCTGGGCGTCATGAGGGGCGCCTGTAGTCCCAGCTACTTGGGAGGCTGAGGCAAGAGAATTGCTTAAGCCCAGGAGTTGGAGGTTGCTGTGAGCTATGATGCTATAGCACCTACCCAGGGCAATAGCTTGAAGCTGTCTCAAAAAAAAAAAAAAATTAAAAGAATTGTTTTTATTAGGTGTTACATGTTATGTTAATGGTAGTGATACTTACCAAGATATGCAGAAAATTGTAGAAAGTGTTGGTCAAAAATTTTTCCCTGTGTATCCCCTAAACAAATTCTTGAAAACAATGTATCCTTCACATATTTTTAGGCTGATAGCTAAAAATTTTTACTCTAAATTTAAGCAGTGTGAAAAAATATTAATAATTTATGGCTCACTGTAATAATGCCAATTTAAAATAGAACTATTATTTTAATCTAATCAACAGCAATATAATATCCATTACAATCATTAAAAAAATGAACAAATGCTTCAATTAACAATTGGAAATTTTATATTCTTATTTCTCTTTGAACTATTTCCTTTCAACATCTCCCACAATAATTATACCCTAATGTAATTAATTTTACTATACGATTATCTACATCAAAATATACACATATACATTCTTTTATTTCCTGTGATAATCTAAGTCTCAAAAATCCATTCTATCATCATAATTATTAGTCTAAAATTCATCTATATATGTTACAATCCTTATTAAAATACTAACAAAAGAAAATTTTATTGGAAAAGGGATTTCTGAGATGAAATTTTTAATGGATAAATATTGCTGTTAGAATGAGAAAATTCATCTTGGGGTAAGAGTTGTCTCCAGTAAAAAAAAAAGGGGGAGGGAGAATGAGAAGATTCAGCATTAATTTTATTCTTGATTTATTATTTTTTTTTGGTCAGAACTTTGGAATTTTGTCCACATAAACAAGATGATAATGAAAGAAGTTATACCACTATCTCATAATTTTTTAAAGTCTTTCAAAAATGCTATAATGACCCTATCTTCAAAAATTATTTTCAATGATCTATGACTTTGGTTGCAAGCAAAAACCCAATAACCACCAGCCATGCACTATCCCCAAATATCCTACATTGATAACCCCACACCCCCTACACTGATCTTCTATTCAAATTATAATACTATTTGGAAACTGGAGGTTTTATAACCCAGGCCTTCAATATGTAAATGGGGAGAGGAGTGATTGTAAAAAGGGAAGAAAGGAAAGACAAGGTGCTTACCAAGCTCTTTTCTCAGGCAGATTAATACACCTTGTGTGACAGTCTGTATGTACTCAGGGATATCAATAATTCAGTTTGAAGACTGCTCAGTCAGCTAACATGGCAAATGCTAACATTTATTAAACTCTTACTATGAGTCAACTGTGCTAAATTATTTATATATATGCTATATCATTTGATTTTTTCAATAATTCCTTTATGGATGAGAAAACAAGAAAGTAAAGCTCCTTGCCCAAAGTTTCACAGCTATTAAGAGGTCCCATATGGATTAGAATACCGATTGTTAAGCTTAACTAACTGGTGAATTCAGTTTAGGACAGGCATAGTGTAGGGACCTGTAAGATACTGGTTACTACTGCTGGCCTGAGTGCCATAACCATAGCTCTTTAATTTTTTTAAGTGATTAAAAAATATGTAGTATGTGTGGTTGGTAAATATGCAAATGGCATAAAACTGGAAGAACAACTAAATTATCATCCTTTAAGTCCTGAGAAATTATAGCCAAGGACTACTAATTCTTATACGATGAATTTAAAATCGACAAGGACGTGACAGCTGTATTAACAAAATTCCTTCCAATTCCACTAATTTCTGCATCAGAAAAGCAACAGCACCTAAAGAGTGGAGGAGACACAGCTCAGCAGCAGCAAGAGTGAAAGACACAGGATCTTAGCTGACAGAAAGCTTAGTGTTCCAAGAGTATGATGTGACCACAAAACATCCAGCATGAGAAAAAGGGCAAGGATTTACTTATTCACTGCTTTTTTCCTGGTCAGACCACAGAGAATTCTGCACATCACACTAAGAAGCTGGAGAGTGAATGGCTCTAAAGATCGCCCCATAAGGAGCAGCTGAGGTCACTGTGAAACTTATTTTCATTGGGCAGAGACTAGAGGATGTGGAGAAGAAAGTCTGGTGAAGCCAACTTCCTCCACATAGTAACAGGCTGTCATCTGGAAAAGGGGTTAGGTCTGCTCTCTGTGGTCCCAAGAGATAGAATAGGTATGCAGGCTTTTACAGAGAGGTTGAAACATACAACTTTTAAGGTTTCTATCAATTCTGAGAATTTCTGACTAATACTTTTCTAACACAGCTGAGACTTAAATTGTATATAAACAATTCTATCTGGAGATGTTTTTCAAAAAGACTGGAAGGATCTCCTGGAGTACAGTTATAATACAAAATTTTGAAGAGATCAGGTTTGTAATCCAGAGCTGCTAGGATGTTCAAAAACTATTACCAATCCTCTGATTCCTTTGCCAGTGCTTTCATAGTAATTCCACTGACATCTCCTTACAAGAGTTAACCTTTTTTTTTTTTTACTGTTTTTTTTTTTTTAATGTCTTCTTTATTTATTAGTTTTTGCAGTTTTGGGCTGTAGCCAGGTTTGAACCTGCCACCTCTGGTATATGGGGCCAGCGCCCTACTCCTTGAGCCACAGACACCGCCCCCAAGAGTTAACCTTTTTAAGTTGCCTCAGAGAAATACAACATTCACTGCCCATCATCCTAAAGTCTTTTCAGTAAATTTTATAATCTACAAGTATGATAATATTATTAATACTAATAACTTAGAATAACTTAAAACATTCTCTATTTTTTGAGACAGAGGCTCAGTCCATTGCCCAATCTACAGTGCTCAGCCTAACTCACAATAACCTCAAACCCTTAGGTTTAAGTGATCATCCTGCTTCACTGAGTAGCTGGGACTACCAGTGTGCACCAAAACACCTGGCTAATTTTTCTATTTTTAGGAGAGTCTGTACATACAGACTATCTCACTCTTGATAAAGCTGCTCTCAAGCTCCTGAGCAGAAGGGATCCTCATGCCTCGGCTTCCCAGAGTGGTAGGATTACAGGTGTGAGCCATGGCACCCGTCCTAAAACATTTTTTTAAGTAAAATAATCAAGAACTTCAACTACTACAATCACATTACTTGAAATATGAGCTGACCTTCCTCTTACGTATTTGCTTAGATAAACATATAGCAAAGTATAGACAGAGTACATTTGTTTTGGAGAAATCAATTCTTTCTTTCTATATGGCTCCTCCCTTCTTTACCTCATGGGTCCCAAATTAGATCTTACCTTGCACTGAAAATCAGATCCTTCATATTTCATACACCCTGAAGCTAATGTGGTTTCTCCCTGGTCATCTTCTTCTATGATGGCAAAGCAATGTCCATTAGTTCTAAAAGAGAAAACAACAATATAACTTCACTTCAGAGAGTGCTAATAAAATTTGAGTTTGAAATGTAAACAGGCACTATGGCCTTATGGTACCTTGTTTTTTGTAATAGAGGTAGATCCGCATGTGATTTACTGGCAGAGCCAAATAGGTTTTAAGACAGATGAAAGCTAGAACTTAGTTCAGATGAAGTCTGAACTAAGATTTAAAATGCCAGTGGGAACTCTAGTCAAGTGGAAAAGGATTTCTATAAAAAAAAGTGAAAAATAACTTTGTCTATTTTACCTATTATATTTTCAATATCCACATACTATACATGATAAATAAAAACAATCTGTGAAACACACAGACTCAATGACACAAAAGTATATTTGGGAAGAAAA